CGGAGGACACCAAACAGCTGCTCAAGACGATTTGCAATGAAGTTTACTCTTTCTTAAGTAAAAGAATATCCAACGAAACTATTTCTGAAACGGAAATGAGCTACATTACTGATTTAAAAGAGCACCCTGTTGTTTTCTGCCAAAATGTTTTTGTGAAACCAAAACAAACGGCACTCAGCATTTTAACTGATTGCGAACCTCATCTATTTGGATTGCGGACCCATCATCTTGGATTAAAATGCGAGCATCTGTTGTGTGTTCTTGATATCAAAAGCAAATTTACCACAGATGATATTTTAAATGTCATGTTGGAAAAGCAAACTTGTAAAGAAGAAGTGCAGCTGACAGAAGATGAATTGGAGCTATACACCAAACTCATCAAAGTCCTAGTTAAGTGTATGGAACGTGAAGAAATTGATTATCGTGGATTATGTACAAGCACAGATAATGCGGGTGTTTCAACACAATTGTGTATTCCAGATGAGAAAGGTATCCTGACACCAATGAATAAGTTGTGCTTGAATGACAATGAGAAAATTAAAACAACTGGGACAATGAAATTTGTAAACGGAAAAATTGGTCCAGATTTCGCCCGCAAACTTGGTGTAAAGGCCAAGATAAAACAACACTTCTCGGACAATACTAAAAAATTACCTTTCGGACAAAATGAAAAATTGACTACAAGAATAAAAGAAATTTTAAGAGGCTACCCATGTGATGAAGGAATCATGAAGGAACTTCTGCAGAATGCTGATGACGCACAAGCAACAGAGCTTCAATTCATCATAGATGATAACACCTACTCTACGGAAAGAGTATTTGATGATGAATGGAAAGCATTACAAGGCCCTGCTCTTCTTGTTTATAATGATAGCATGTTTAGTGCCAAGGATATTCAAGGAATCCAGGACCTGGGTATAGGCAGCAAAGCGGACGACCCAACAAAAACTGGCCAGTACGGTGTAGGGTTCAATGCCGTGTACCATCTAACGGATACACCCTCATTTCTCACAAAGGGCCCCAATGTTGAAGGAAGGGAAACAATGTGTATCATGGAC